AGGGCCCTGCAGCCACATGAGACCAGCAAGGAAGCTACAGGCTCCTGGCTTCTGCCTGGCCTAGCCTTAAGTCATTGAGGCCACTGGGGAAGCACACCAGCAAATGGAGATCTCTCTGCATCTGTCTACATAAATTTGCCTAACAAATAACTATGAAAAACTTTTAAAATTTAAAAGGGTCCAGGGGCCAGCACCATGCCATAATGAAGCTTCCATATGCAACTGTCCACATCCCATATGGATGCCCGTTGAGTCCAGGCTGCTCCACTTCCATCCAGCTCCTTGGGCCATGTTTGCTCCTTCTGAGAAAGCAGCAAAACACAGCCCAAGTCCTGGGAGACGGAGGCGGACCCAGGCTCCTGGGTCTGGACAAGCCCAGTCCAGCAATGTGGTCACCTGGGGAGTTAATGAGCAGACGAAGATCTTCATCTCTTCCTTTCCAACAATTTGAAGAAATAAATGTCTTTAAAACTGTTGTGTTGGGGAGGAGGAGGGGGGATATTTTTAATACCTATATTAAACATTTAACAAAAATCACACACCTGGGAAACTGCAACGTCTCCACACTATATGTATTATATTTATACTGGGGTGGGGAGGGCGGCATTGCAGCACAGTGGGTTAAGACACCACTTGGGACACTAGCATTCTTTATCAGAGGCCCAGCTGGTTCTCTTCCAATCCAGTGTCCTGCTTATATGCCTGGGAAGGCAGAATATAGCCCCTGCCATCCATGTGGGAGACTCAAACAGAGTTCCTGGCACCTGGCTTTGGCCTGATCCAGACCTGGCTGTTGTGCCATGTGAGAAGTGAACCAGTGGACATGATTTCTGTGTCTCTAATTTCCTTCCTGAAAGCCTGCTTCTCAAATAAATGAATAAACTGTTATTTTTAATAAGCAGACTATGGTACCATTACAAATGCAAGGCTGCTAACATGCCCGCCCGCTAGAAGGCAGTAGGCGAAGGCCTAACTACCTGAGTCCCTGCTACCTATACAGGAGACCCAGAATTCTAGACACTGCTGACTGTTGCAGCATTTGAGGAGCTCGTCAGTGGACGGACAGACCATATCTCCGTGTTGGCGTATGTGTGATATGTGTGTGTCTTTGCCTTTTCATTCAAAACAATGTTTCTTAAAGATTTTTTATTTGAAAGGCACAGAGAAAGAAATCAATTTTCCATCTGCTGGTTTGCTCCTTAAGTGCCCACTGAGGTAGGGATCGGGCCAGGTATTCCTCCTGGGGGCCAGGGCCCAAGCACTGGGCCACCATCTGTTGCGTCCCCAGGAGCATCAGCAGGGAGTTAGATCAGAAGTGGAACTAAGTCACAATGCTGGTCACAGGTCAAAATTCTTCAAAATGGAGAGGAAGGGGTGTATGTGGTCTAGGTTCTACAGAAAAATTATCACGGTAAGAAAGATGATAAAATTAAAAACATTCACTGAATATAAGAATGAATATAAAACATAAGAATGAAATAAGACATAAGGAAATAAAAATGAATAAAAGTAAATAAACGAATGTAAGAACAAAAAAGATGGAAAAATAATTAAGGCAGTACATTAAAATTCGATAGTATCACTAATAATATTAAACATAATTGAGCTAAACAAGTCAACCAAAAGGCAGAAGTTGTCAGACTGGATACAACAGTACAATCTATATACTGACCACAAAAAACACACTTTAAATGAAAAACAACAAATAAGTTTGATGTAGAGGATTTTTTTAAGGTGACAAAATCAAACTTATGACAAAAAATACGATTGCAACATGAGCATTAATAAAAAAAAAATCCATAGCAAATATCAGAACTAGGAATAAAAGAGTAATTTTACAATGATAAAACGGTCAATGACATTTATGAACACAGTGAACAGAGCTTTAAAATGCATAAAGCAACAAGAACTAAAAGAAATAGATCTACCAATCTAGTAAGCGCTCCCAGGACCTCCCAGGGTACAGCAGACTTGAACACCATTACCAGATGACATGACCTAACTGACATGACAGAGCATGTCTTACAAAAGTAACATAGACACAATCTTTTCAAGCGTACAACACTTACCAAAGTGAATTATTTGTTAAGCCGCAAAGCAAATCTCAGAAAATCTCAGAATCAAATACAAATTTTGGGCTTAAAAATTTTTTTTAACCAGTTTCCTCCCCAAAATGATCGTAACAGGGCTGAGTCAGACCAAAGCCAGAAGGCAGGAGCTTAATGTGGGTCTCCCATGTGGACGGAAGGCACCCAAGCACATCGGCCGCGAACTGGGTAAGGGGAGCAAAGGGGACTTAAACAAGTGCTCCATTACAGGATCCTGGCACCTCGCAGAGCTGCACAACCAGCCACGCCTTAACACTGGCCTACAGATTGTTTTCCAATCAGAGTAGAATTAAGTTAGAAATCAGTAACAAATACCTTAGTGGGAAGTTCCCAAATATAAGCAAATGAGTCACCTGTTTGATCAGGGCATTGGACCCACGTGCTGTCCCCGCTCACCGAGAACCCTGAGCACACACAGATACGATTCTGAGAAGGGGACAAAAGCATAGTATCGGCTATTAGGATGTGTGACAACGTTCCTCGTGCAAGTATCACAGCACACCTAAAAGCAAGAGGAAGTGCAAAAAACTCACCAGCATTACAACAGCACGTAACGGAGCAGGGCCGCACCAACTGCAGACATTCATTTGGAAGGTAACTGTGAGCACTGACAGGACACTGCCGCCTTGCAGTTATGGAAGACTTTAAAACGCAAACACATGTCCCAGAAATAGGTGAAATTACTACTCAACAGTGGCAATATTTTAAATTTGCATTTTATTAAAAATATAGCAACATAATAGCAGCATCGTTTAATAAATCTTTACTAATACCATTTTAAAAGTCATCCTACTCACAAACATATCCGCCTAGGCAGCGTCTGTGTGTTTACACTGGAGGTCCTTCCCTTGGCACTTCCACAGCACTTCCTCCCTAGCACTTCTCTACTGGGATTCAGCAGGCAGATTACTACCACATTCACCGGTGTAGCTGCACAGTGTACTCAGATCTTGGGGAAATCAGAAATCATCTTGAGCTTCATCAACAGTATGCTTGTCTACCTTACACTGGTAGCGAACAATCTCTTCCTCTAGTAGGATTTTCAATTTGAACTTACAAACATACTCAAGAAGGTATCTAACAAACAAAACCCAAGCATAGAAGGAACTACTTCAGTCCTGAAAAAATAAAATTTGGAGGTAAAATGAGAAGTCGCCCCCAAATTAGCAATTTCCAAAATTATACTGTTAGACAGATACAAATTTAAAAACAAGACAACAAATTAAGACTCTGAGTTTAAAGACTTTACCTTAAGAAACGTTATATCAGACACAAAGTAACAATTCTAATAAATTGTTAGGAGTTATGAAAAGCAGTGAAAGGGTTACTAAATCCAATCTAAGTGAATGTGAATATGGACCAGAACTCACAAACAACTTTAGCTTATTTTTAAAATAGTATCAGTTGTTAGTCAGTGTTACTAATAAAAGTGTATACTTTTAAAACGAAGAAAAAAAAAAAGCTTGCACCCATAAACCCAAAAAGTAGGGAAGTTAATTTTAAGAGATTCTTATATTACTCCAGATTCCTGCTTCCAGAAATATGTTTTATCCCTTTTGAAAGTCGAGATTAAACAATTTAAATGGCTATTACATATAAGAGTGGGAATTATGAGAAAATACTTAGTAAAAAATTTAAAAATATTTAAACATACAAGGAATGCAAGATCCTTCTACTTCACAAGACTAGATATACTTGACAACCCAGCTAGTTAAAAAATCAAACACTTTTAATGAAAATAGAAAATGACCACCAAAAAAGTACTCAATGCTTCAATCCAAAAGGATTAATTCTGCTAATCTGACAAACAAAGGCGATGAAATCAAAGCAAATTCTGACTTGGCGTTACTGTGTAGACTAAAGCATGCCGTTGTACGCAGTAATTCTTACATACATTATCTTCATTTGAGAGCGTGTTTGGGTCAGGGTCCTTTTTTTTTAAGTTTTTAAATAAAGGTAAGTAACATATACATAGACAATGACAGAGTCCCAAAAATGATTAGCATCACAAATGAGATTATTTTCTTGATCAAAAAATTTTTCTCACTATGGATGCCAGCTTTTAATTGAGCAAATCAAAACGCCAGCCCCCAACACTCCTGATGAATATGGCCAACACCGAAGCCCTTCAGAACGGAACCCTAATCCAGGGAAGGTCATCAACTGACAGGTGCATGCAGTCATGAGCTAATTAGACAGGACCCGGGTCACAGCAGGGGGTAAGCCAACAGTGAAGCATTTACGCGTTTTCACACTTGGAACTGACGGGCAAGCTTCTGAAGGACCGTCCTCTAGGATTAGTCTGGGTTGCTGAAAAGCAAGAGTGAGAGTTCCAAAAGAATTTTTCTAGACTGATGAATAGCAACTACAATTTAAGGAATTCTCTTACATAATTCTAGCTAAACAAAATCTGTATCAAGCGTAAAATGCTGTCTGCTGAGCCTCACCTCAAGTTTTCCCGACAACACCTGTATTAAAACAAAGTAACTCGAGAAGAAATCTACAACTGAAAACATATCGGCTCCAGTCAACAACAAACATACAAAACCCTACCAAGTTTTGCTTCCCTAAGAACAAGTCAAACATCCAACCCCGGAGAGGCTGGTTTTACTTCCTAGGATCCTCGGATCCCATTCACAAGTCAGGATCTGTCAAGCCTCACATGATCACTTTAACAGTGACTAAATATCAACCGCAGGAACCAGATTTCATGTTAATGACCAGCATGAAAGATATTTCACAGAGCCCAGAGAAGAGGAAAACAGTTTTATAAACACCACACAAAACGTGCATTCCCTGTGGCAAAAAAACAGAAAATCTCTGTGCCAATGAAAAGAAAGGCAGGATGAAAACTGATTGTTTTTTTGAAATGCATAAACAAATACTTTCCTCTAAAATACTTAGCTTTATTAGAGAAACGGTACTAAAAATAACAAAGATTCAAACATTTGCTCTAGTCTACTTCCATATCATAAATAAGACAGCTATTGATGCAAGACACATAATCCTACACAGTCCTCTCCATATGCACCCAGCATTCTTACATCAGAATAAGCTGTTTACAGCCAACCGTATGTGGTTGAATGATAAAAATGACCATCTATACTTTACATAGTAAAGCATTTTCCAAAGTTTTAATGTACACAGTTGACAAAAAGGAAAAAAAAAATCACACAGTAATTTTGAACACAAAAAGAGTGATTAAGCAGCTTAATAATCAAACCAGGCTTCATTACTCGCGGTGGGGGCAACTCTTTTCAGTCTTCACCAAAGACTTCAACCTCAACAGTATTAACATGAAAATTCAAGGTGAAACCAAGTGACCACCTGCTACTCAGCTTTTTAACTCTATCTGTACAAGTAACTCTTCCCATTGAGGTAAGGCAACTGAGTAATTTGATTGTATTAGACTGCATTAAAATAAAATTATACTTGATTTTTTAATAACATGCTAATTAAAACTGTTACTTTTTTTTTTGGAAATATAACAGTAATGAAAAGAATTCAAAAACCACAAGTTAAACGTTTTGAGACGAAAAACCTTTGCAATGCTGTCGTCTTGCACACCGTCAGGGAAAGGTGAGTCTATCTACGACGGACCACCCGAATTTTAAACTCAAGGAAACATACCCTGGGACACACAACCTCCCTGGTAAACGAGGCTTCCCTCAGTCAGCACATCATTTAGAGAAGACAACTGAGAGGTAATCATTAAGGTCATTCAACATCAACATAGACCACAAAAAGGTTCCTTTTAGGGAGAACAGCATGCTTCAATTGTCACAGTATAAAATTGATGGTCCCAAAACTGTACTGTTAAACTCAACAATCAGCCTTGAAAACAAGACTTCCTTTTCATATTAGGTGAACTAAGTAAGCAGCTCTCCTGACACTTGACTTGCATACCTCTCTATGGGTATGAACAGAATATCCACCTAGATTCCATATGAATTCAGGATGACTAGCACATAGAAAATTCTAGAAAACATTGTAGAAGGCACTAAAGCTTCAGCTTGTGCTCCCATAGCCCATTTTGAAAACCCAGTTTCCTTTTGCTAAGGACGCCTTTGCCACCTACAGCTGACAACACACACTGCAATTCTACTCGCAGTAAGCTTGGAAATGTCAAGGAAGTTTAAAAGAAAACGCTCACTCTGCGGGTAGACCCAACGACTCAAACACGGAATACTAACACGTATTAGTATTCAGCACAGGGGGTTCTTTCTTTTCAGAGAGAACAGTAGCATGCAGTGTCAGTTGTTTTTTAATCCACTTAAACAATTTTAACCTGTAAAACTATCTTAAAGAAAAACTGCTGTCCTAAATGATGAACAAAAGAAAACAAGTGAGAATTAAACACAATCACTGTAAATCTTGTAAAGGCGAAAACTTCTTACATACTTTGCACTTACAAGGGGTGTGTTTATATTTCCACCAATTTCAAGCACATCATCAAACTTTACATACTGAAACTGCTTTAAAAAAAAAAAGTAAAGTGATACAAAATTCAGTAACCAGCCTTGTCAAGAGCCTGCAAAGCTTGTCACCAGTCTTTAAGGATAGTATGAATTTGGATCTCTGATGTTGTGTTTATTTGCAATGGTTCTTGGCAGACACTAATAAACCACATGGCAAGTATGTCGGCCACCATGGAACTGCACAGACTTCACATGAGAAGGCTGAGTAACGTGTGCTACCGTCTCCATGTCCGTGCTTTCTGATTCAGAAACAAGATGGCCACAAAGTCACCTAAGGATTGGAAAGCCGTTTGCTGCTATCTTTTACGCTCCACTAGACTTCCTCCCTGTCTATTACATCTTGTTGTGAGACGTAAAAGCTTTGGACTGGATGCCAGCGTTGAGTGCAGAGGGGCCTTGGAGGGTCCTACACCGTGTCTGACTGGGCAGACAGGTTTTCCTCGTCAGGCTGACAGCTGCCGTTCTGCTGCCCGTGGCTGTCCCCAGTCCTCGGTGCGTCCTGGTCACCGACTTCTTTGCCCACATCTGAATCTGCCTCGTTCATCTCCTCCTTCTCCTACAAAAAAAATATTAATGTGCCCATTTAACATTTTCCTAAGAGTTGCCCACAATAAAAGCAAAAATTATGTCTTATCTTTTTCATAAGACTGATTTCTCGGAAAGGTCGAGTTAGAGAGCGAGGGAGATGGAGTGACAGGAAGCCTGCATGTAGGTCGTGTCCACAGGCTTTAGTGCCCAAGCTCTGAAGCCAGTGGCTTCTCCCAGGGCAGGGACCCAGGCACTCAGCTCATCCTCCACTGCTGTTCCAGGGGCATGAACTAGGAGCTGGACCAGGAGTGGAGCCGCAGGGACTAGAACCACAGTCCACATGAAGTGCTCATACTGCAGGTGGCACATACACCACAGTCCCAGCTCCAATGTCTATCATTTCTGAAGAAACAAGACTGAATATTTTCTACCCATTATGTTTTCATATTAAAAAAAAACACTCAAGTAGTGTAAAAACTTCCCCTTTGTACTTCTTATAAAATTAAATGAGGGAAACAAAAAATTGTAAGAACTGACAGACTTGAAAAAAATGGAAGAGATTACAAGTATTTCCAAAAGATAAGATACACACCAAAACGCAAAAACAAAGAACAAGGGACCACCACTGTCGCCCTGGCAACAACAGCACTGCATCCCACATAGGAGAGGCCGTGCGAGTCCAGCTACCCTCCTTGCGATGTGGACCTGCTGCTGTGCCTGGGAAGGCACATGGCCAGTACTAGGGCCCTATTAGCCATGTGAGAAACCAGAACAGACTTCAGAAATGGCTGTTGTGGCCGCTAGGAGAAAGAACCAGCAGATGGAAGATCAATCTTTCTCTGTTTCTTCATCTTTTCCTTTTTTTGTTTTCCTCCCCACAAAGATTTATTTACTTTTATTAGAAAATTGGGTCTGCAGAGAGGAGATACAGCAAAAACGATCTTCCACCCGCTGATTCATTCCCAAAGTAGCCGCAACAGCCTGAGCTGAGATGATCCAAAGCTAGGAGCCAGGAGCTGCTTCTGGGTCTCCCATGCAAGTGCAGGGTCCCAAGGCTTTGGGCCATCTTCTGCTGCTTTCCCAGGCCACAAGCAGGAAACTGGATGGGAAGTGGAGCTGCCTGGACACAAACTGACACCTATATGGTATCCCAAGGCATGCAAGGAGAGAACTTCAGCCAGTAAGCTACTTCTTCTGACCCAGGACTGCAGTTTTCACAATTTTAATTTGCTGGGCCCAGTACGATGGCTCAACTAGCTAATTCTACACCTTGTCTCAGCTGGGATTCCATAAAGGCACGGTTCATGTCCTGGCTGTTCTACTTCCCATCTAGCTCCCTGCTTGTAACTCAGCAAGTAGCAGACGATGGCCCAAAGCCTTGGAACCCTGCACCCACGAGAAGACCCAAAAGAAGCTCCTGGCTTCTGGCTTTAAATCAGCTCAGCTCCAATGACTGTGGCCATTCTGTCTTTCTAATAAAAACAAATCTTTAAAAAAACCCTTTTTAAAATTTACTCCCTTATCTTCAAAATTTAACGAGATTGATCAATTTAACACTTTTTTTCTTTCAAAAACAGCAAGCAATTTTAGTCCTGTGGACACTCTTGAAGCAGCCCTGAACAAACAACATGAACATACACAGAAAGAGGAAGGAAGAGGCCTGGCGAGGACAGATAGAACATGTCACCTGCCACAGTGCCCACGCCCCTGGACAGCCTCCTGCCTGCCAGGGTGCCGGAGGGGACGTCAGTACACCAGGCAGTGGGCATACCTGCTAAACCACCTCCACCTGCAAACCCATCTCTCTCACCCCTCCTCGCCCTCTACCAGAGCCCCACACAGGCCAGCAATACCATGCCCTGACCTCTGTAATAAACATTTAAAAATAATGCTTGTATTATAAAAAACATCATGTTTTAAAAAGTTCGTTCCCATTTAGCGCTTTCCCCACCGTGCCGCACCCGGCGGCTGACTTACATCACTTCCTGTGAGCACAGCGCTGTCCTCCTTGCCTTCGCCGTCTTTACAGTCCTTTTTCACAGAGCTGGAGTGCTCACTCTCCCTCCTCTCACCAATGTGGTCCCGTTCCTTCTCTCTCTTTTTATCCTTCTTATTTCTGCTACAAGAATATTAATAACATGTCAGCATCTAATAGCTTAAAGAGATTTATCATAGTTTTGACAAAATATCCTTATCCAATACAGGGCATCCCCTGAAACAACACAAAATAAAATTCCTTGTACCAGACACACTAGTAAGCTATTTTGACAAAAAATGGGTCCTACACCCTGGCTTACCCCCATCTTACCCTACTTGGTTTTTTAAAAGACATACAATTTAGGGTCAACAAGGTGACTCAACAAACTAATGTTCCACCTGTAAGTGTAGGCACCCATGTGGGCGCTGGCTCATGTCCTGGCTGCCTCACTTCCCATCCAGCTCCCCGCTTGTGGCCTGGGAAAGCAGCAGAGGATGCGCCAGGCGCTTTGGTCCCTGCAGCCATGTGCAAGACCTGGAAGAAGCTCTTGGCCTCTGGCACCCTGGCCAGCCCCAAACACTGCAGCATCTGGGGAGTGGATGAGTGAATGGGAAATCTCTGCTTTGCAATCTCTCCCTCTCTAACTGCCTTTCAAATAAATAAAATAAACCTTTAAAAAAATATTTGGGGGGGGCAATACTACACTGACAAAGAACATATGCAGACATTTTTCCCTGTTGTTATTCCCCCACATCATATAGTGTAATTATTTACACAGCACTTAGGTCGAGTCCCTAGCCTCCAGCCCCAAGGACAGCAGGCGTCTGCAGAGTGAATCAGATACAGGAGTTTCATTTGTTTCTCAAATAAACAAAAATTAAAACTAAAATGAACAATAATACCAAAGCCTGGGGACAGACAAGAAGCATGTAAGTGGAAGCTGAGGGTGACTGAATATCTACCTCTTAAGACTTCATTTCTGAAAGGGGCAAATGGAATATTCACTCAGAATATAAGCGAGAATTTGTTTTGTAGATTTTCCACCTGCTCCAGTGTCATGTCAGCTCATGATCTTAACTTACCCCCTCGGGGAGGGAGACCGGGAAGACTTCCTTTTTATGGTTTTCGATGTTCTTGGGGATCTAGAAGAGCTCCTGCTCCTCCTCCTACGTCTTTCCCTGGAAGTGAAAAACACGTCATATTTTAAATAACAGCCAGCCATATAAGGGGCAATTCACATATATAAAAGACAAGGAACTCTCAAGCGCATTTTTACTATTCCTTAGAGGTCAGCAGAAAATAACAATCTTTATGGTTCTGTCCTGTCCTATTTCCTCATTTCAGAACTCAGGCCCAATAATGAACCACAAATTGCACAGACTGCTCAAAACATCATCTCTGGTGGTGTACAGATGGATATACAAGTACAGCTGCTGATGATAATAAGCTAACTCTGGATAATACTCTAGACTATCAGTTAGGAATAAAGCCGTGAGTCAATGAACAAGTAGAGCTGATTATACTCAGATTTAAATTCCAGTGCTTTATTTTACTGGATACACAGCTAGGATCACATTATTGAACCTGAGCCTTTTTATCTGACATGAACACAGCTCAAGCACTACAGGCCTGGCATGAGAGCACCAAGGAGGTCCAGTCGGGCATGAGTCTGCCAGGCACGGGCTCCCTCCCCAGCCCTGGCACAGGCCCTACTTTTCTCAACAATAGTGTTAATTCTAACATCACAAATGTTTTCAAATATCAAAATTTTTATTGAAAATACAGGTGGGGATACATTCTGGAAATAAAAATATTAAGTGGGCTATTGTTCTGAGGAGTTATAATGTTTCTGATGTAATAAACAAAACCCAGAGTGTCTGAAAGGCAGAAAACTGCTAAAAGACGAAAAACTCAAACTCTTCACACCAAGTTCTTCTGAAAGCATAAAACACTGAAAATGGCTACACTCTTAGAAATGAATGGTGCTTATCCTATTCCTCCAGCCCTAACACCAAATGTGAGCAAGGGAATTTTCTTAAAGATCAAGTGACATAAAATAGCTCAGAAAAAAAGAATTTAAACATGATGAAGTTATTCAAAATTAAAACATTCAGGCCTGGTGCTCAGTGGCTAGAGTCTTCAACCTGGCACATGCAGGGATCCCATATGGGTGCTAGTCTGTGTCCAGGCTGCCCGCCTCCCTTCCAGCTCCCTGCTTGTGGCCTGGGAAGCAGGTAAGGACAGCCCAAAACCTTGGGACCCTGCACCCGTGTGGGAGACCCAAAAGAGGCTCTACCCATTGAGGACACTTGGGGAATGAACCAGTGGCAGGAAGATCTTTCTCTCTCTCCTTTCTGTGTATCTGACTTTCCAATGAAAATAAATAAATCTTTAAAATAAAAACTAAAACATCTGTTTGTACTAGGAAGGGTCATCACACAAACACAAAGGCACACATGACACACAATCAATAATGCCTACGCAGTGCAAGGAGGCTCCAAGGGTTCAACTGATACAAACAAAGGCTGTTCAATTACTTCACGTGTGTCCAATGTGCCGGAATCTGGAGCTAATCTCTCAGCCCCAGTAAGACACACGAATATAACAAGGCTGCCAGTCCGCTGCTTCTGAAGCAGTCTGCTGCTCTGCTTTTATCTTAGAGGTGGAGAAAGACCGACCAACACAGTGAGCACTAACTCCACAGATTCCTACAAAGGCTCAGGTTAGGCAAGTCCAGAGTCAGGAAGTCCAACCTGGCGTTCCACACGGAGCTGGACCCAGTGACTGGAGCTATCGCTTCCTAACTGCTGGAGCGTACAGTCACAACACTAGAAATCAGGAGCCTTCGTGGGAACTGAGCCCAGGTAGTCCACTCCAGTCCCAGTGCCACCAGGCCTGCTCCTGAGGCAATGTTTTAAAGTAGGTACCAAACGGTGATTAGAGGAATTCGCAAACCTCTAAAAGGAGAGGAGGGAAAGGGTTATGGCTCAATGGGCTCAACAGTCACTTGGGGGCCTTGGATTGAATCGCAGCCATCCCACTTCGGATCCAGCTTCCTGTCAATGCACCTGGAAAGCAGCAAATGAGAGCCAGCGTACTCGGGCCTTGGCCACCCACACGGCAGACCCACAGCAAGTCACACTCTTGGATGCAGCCCGGGCCGGCCTCAGCCAGCACAGCACCTAGGCTATGGGTCAGCGCAACGCAGGTCTCCCATCTGTCTGTCACTCCAGTTTTTCAAAAATGAACAAATAAATAAATAAATAAATAAATAAATCTTTTAAGAAAGAAAGAAGATAAAAATGGAACAGTGCTACTGAACTTTGGATACACAAGCACAGCTCAGGGACCAGACTTTCAGTCCAGCATTTAAGATGTCACGTTAGAGTAGCGAGGTTCAACCCCTCAGCTCCAGCTACACACACCAGTGTGCACCAAGAGCTGGGTTCAGATGGAGTTTCCAGTTCCTGCCCAGGTCCCAGGAGCTATGTGGGAGGTGAATCAGCCAATGTGAATGCTCGTTCTCAGAGTTCTTTTAAGCTGAAGTACAGAGCACATGAGAGATTCCCTGTAAGCTTCAGTTTCCTGATGCTTGAAATGGCAACAACAGTCTCCACACAGGTTTACTCTGAGGATTAAATAATGCGAGGCCGGAAAATACACTGAGGTACAATTATCTGGCAAATGTCTGCCATTATCATCCTTGATCTTTCAGTATTAGTCAAAGGCTAACGTTAGGAACAAACCATTAAAGTGCCAATTTTAACATTTATTTTATTTTTCTTTCAAAGACAAAATTACAGAGACAAGGAGAGAGAGCTCTTCCATCCACTAGTTCATGCCCCAAACAGCCCAAGCTGAGCTGATCCAAAGTGAGGACCAGTAGCCTCCTTGGGGTTCCCGTGAGAGTGTAGGGGCCTAAGGACGTGGCCCATGCTCAGCTGGTTTCCCATGCCCTGTCAGGGAGCTGCTCTGGAAGCAGAGCACCTAAGACAGGAACCAGTGCCCGCAGGTGATGCCAGTGTCGAGGCCCAGGATTCATCTCTCTGCCACCACACTGTCCCCTGAAGTACCAATTTTGCAAAAAGAAAGGAGATACTGCTGTGGGTAAGCCTCCACATGTGGGTGCTGGTTCAAGTCCTGCCTGCTGTACTTCCAATCCAACTCCTGCCAATAGAATTCAGGACAGACAGGAAGGTCCAAGTGCGTGGGAACCCACACCGGGGATCCAGAAGCTGCATTGGACAGGCCCAGCCCTTTTTACAGCCATTTGGGAAGTGAACCACTGGATGAAAGACCTCTCTCTGTCTCTTCCTAACTCTGACTCTTACATAATTTTTAAAAATACATATATTTAAAAAGGAGGCATAAGGGGTGGCACAGTGGCTCAACAGTCTAATCCTCTGCTTACAACGCCAGCATCTCAGATGGGCACCAGTTCTAGTCCCAGCTGCTCCTCTTTCAATCCAAAACCCTGCATATGGATTGGGAAAGTAGCAGATGACAGCCCAAGTCCTGGGTCCCTACACCCAAGTAGGAGACCCAAAAGCAGCTCCAGGCTCCTGGCTTTGGACTGGCTCAGTTCCAGCCACTGCAAGGATTTGTGGAGTGAAGCACTGAATGGAGGATCTGTTAGTCTGCCATTCAAGTAAATAAATAATCTTAAAAAAAAAAGGCAGGTGCTATGGTACACAGCAGGTAATACCACTGGCTACAATGCCAGCATCTATATGGGTACTAACTCAGATCCCAGCTGTTCTACTTCTGATCCAACTAACGGCTGATACCAGACATGAATATAGACTGGACATATTTCCAGACACATACACCCCCTCTACACACACACAGCTTCTTTTTTGTTTTAAAGATTTTTTTTTTTATTATTGGAAAGGCAGATTTACAGAAAGAAGGAAAGACAGAGTGAAAGATCTTCCATCCACTGGTTCACTTCCCAAGTGACCACAACAGCCAGAGTTAAACCGAACAACACCCAGGAGCCAGGAGCTGCTTCCAGGTCTCCCACACGGGTGCAGCGTCCCAAGGCTTTGGGCCGTCCTCCACTGCTTTCCCAGGCCACAAGCAGGGAGCTGCATGGGAAGTGGGACAGCTGGGACATGCAAATCAGCGCCTGCAAGGCGAGGATTCTAGCCACTAGGCTACCATGCCAGGCGTTTGCTTTTTATTTTAAAACACAAATATATTTCAGAGACATTTTATCACAAGTCAGGAACTCCATTTATTTACAGTCATAATATCACCCAGAATAAGGTTGTACACTTAGATATCTCAATTGCATGAAGAGGTCTCATTTTGCAAATGTTACTATGGAAACCTACTGCCACCTGGTGGCAGTGTAACTCTTAATAAAGTGGGAACTATATTGAGGAAAAGAGTAACCATTAAAATTTACAAAGACTGAGAATCCATATCATGAACTCAACAAAAGGGCTAAAAACTATTCTCAGTGAGGGATTTGGCATTTAATCCAGCGTTTCTGAAACCAGCATCTCCCCTCAGTGTCTGAGTTTGATTTCTGGCTCCATTAAGAGGGTTCCTATCAGCCTGAGGGGAGCCCTGGCTTGTGCTCTGGGCTGCAGCTCTGGGCTCTGGCCCCTCCCTCCTCAGCCACTTCGGTCATCTGCAGAGTGGAATGCCACATGACCTCTCTCTTCCTCCCAAACGAGTACCTCCCATGACAGTAAGGACAAACACCACACCATCAGAACACATTTTGCATATTAACATTGTATCAAGGGAATGAAAAAAATGAGCTTATGAGATCAAATTCTATAATTTTTTTTTTTAAAAGAAATCCTCCCTTACCTTTCTACCCTCAAAGAGAACCACAACAAAGAACAGGAATTAGCAGGTTAAAATAACAGACCACAAACGGCAGCTAAAACTTGTCAAGTCTGCCCATGTTCATGACTGTGGCGATCCCTCTGCTAGAGGAAACAGCACGAGGAGGGGAGCACACTGTGACCTGGCCACACTGGCTCAGCTTGCACACAACGATCTTTTCGCCACCAGCTAAACCCGCCGGAACACATTTTATGCATCATCGAACCTGCTGGAACTTCGAGATCTTCTGGAGGCATTGTAACTCCGGGGTGGTGTTCTGGACTTCTTCTCCTTCTTCCTCTTCTCATCGGTCTCTTTGGATCTGTCCTTGTCTTTGTCCTGTTCCTTCTCAGGCTCTTTGTCCCGTTCTTTCTCTCTGTCCTTCTCTTTATCTTTGTTTTTACCCCGCTCCTTCTCCTTGTCACGTTCCTTCTCTCTCTCTCTCTCTTTTTCCCTTTCCTTTTCTCTATCTTTCACTCTTTCCTTTTCCTTGATCTTTTCTCGAGTATCCTTCCTTTTGTCCCTTTAAAAACAAAAATTAATTAATTAATAACTAAAGCAATTCTTCCCCACCCAATTGGGACCTCCCTCTCTTTCCTTTACAATCACCAACACTAAATCATTTAGAATGGCTATAGACATAACATATAAATTCTACACAACTCAAGTGTACACAAAGCTGCTAAATGAAGCAATTACCAGGCTGAGTGGAGCAGTTTGGAAACCTCATGAATCATACTGACCATCAGATTCAAATCAATGGCAACCAATATTAATCCTAGATTATTAAAACAACCAGAAAAAAAGTTTTATTTCTCTCATTTAAAACCTAAACCACAACAGAGTTTTAACAAACGAAGCCAATGAAAACAGTCTCTGTAATTTCCCTAAAACTCACCGTGAACGTGACCGACTCCGGGACTTGCGCCTCTCCCTTGACTTAGAGCGTTTTTTATGTGGGCTCTTAGATCTGCGTCGATCTTTCTGTCTTGAACGTGATCTATTATGGGATCTACTCCTAAGGAAAAATAAATTGTTAAAAAACTTAGTCTTAAAATTTAAAAATTTTTAAATTGAAGATGTCTTTCAAATATGAAAATTTTAAAATCTATCCTAATACTATTTATCAAAATCTATAAATTTCAAGTTTACTTGTTACCAGACGTTTCTCTAGTTATGCACTGCACGAGACCTACGCTGTTATCCGCAGGTGCGGCTTCGTGTGGCACAATTAACGAGATGCTTCACATTAGTACAAAAAGCTTCCCTCGTACTCCATGTTTTATGCTAAAAACCGTCTTTTAAGACCTATTTTATATATCTAAAAGGCAAAGTTACAGACACTGACGGCCAGAGGGGTAAGAGATAGAGAAAGATCGCCCATTTACTAGTTCACTCTCCAGATAGCCACATGCCCAGAGCTGGGCCAGACCAGAGCCAGGAGCCAGGAGCTAATTCTGGGTCTTCCATGTGGATACACAATTCTAAGCCCTTGGCCTATTTTTTGCTGCTTTCTCAGACCATCAGCAGAGAGCTGGCTCAGAAGAAGTGGAGTAGCTGGCCCTTTAAACAGCACCCATATGGGACTCAAGTACTGCTGTCAGAAGGAGGGCAGCTTAACTAACTATGCCACAATGCCAGGCCCCTTGCCTTTTAACTCTCAATCAGCAAGGAGTCTGGTTATAATTCATCTTCACAGAGTAGTGCTTTGATGATTCAATAGTTTCTATAAAAGGTTCTGTTATTTGTCCTTACAAATATATTAAGAAAAGTGTACAGCAGCTGGCACTGTAGCAAACTAAACTTCCTTGCCCTGTGGCAGCAGTAGCCCATAAGGCATTGCTTTAAGTCCCAGCTGCTCCACTTTCAATCTAGTTTCTGGTTAAAGGCCTGGGAAAGTGCTCAGGCCTCTGCAATCATGTGAGAGCCTGGAAACAAGCTCCTGGCTTAGGACTGGCACATCCCGGGCAGTGGTAGTCACTTGGGGAATGACCCAGGAGCTCCCGGCTTAGGACTGGCACAGCCTCGGCGGTGGTAGTAACTTGGGGAATGACCCAGGAGCTCCCGGCTTAGGACTGGCACAGCCTCAGCGGTGGTAGTAACTTGGGGAATGACCCAGGAGCTCCCGGCTTAGGACTAGCACAGCCTCGGCGGTGGTAGTAACTTGGGGAATGACCCAGGAGCTCCTGGCTTAGGACTGGCACATCTCGGGCAGTGGTAGTCACTTGGGGAATGACCCAGGAGCTCCTGGCTTAGGACTGGCACACCCCAGCGGTGGCAGTCACTTGGGGAATGACCCAGGACAGATGATCTCTCATTCTCTCTGTTGCAATTCAGCCTTTCAAATGAAACTAAATAAATCTAAAAAGAAAAAAGATTGTGTAGGCACAGTATTAGTAGTAGTATCAGTGCTAGCTTGACAGGAAAACAAAAATCCTTTTACGTGAGCTAAAACTAGATAAAAATAATCCAAGATTACACGGCAATAACTTTTCACACCTATAGTGACACCCACAGCTAGTTAAAGAACTTTTCTAAGAACTAGTGTTACACCACAGCAGGTTAACCTGCCTTGCAATGCCAGCATCCCACTCTGGAGTGTGAATCGATTTCCAGCTGCTCTACTTCCCATTCAACTTCCCGCTACTGCTCCTGAGAAAGCCTGCCAAGCTGACTGAGCCCCGCCCCGCCCCCACCAGACGGAGCCCTGGCCAAGCCGGCTGCTTCAGGCACCGGAGACTGAACCAGAGCACAGAAAGTTCGCTCCCCTCCTCCTCTTTCAAGTTGGCCTTTCCAAAAAAAAAAAAAAAAAAAAAAGGGGGGGGCAGAATTACATAGAAAGGAAAAGGGAAGAGAGATTTTCCCTCTGCTGGCTCAGGCCCCAAATGACCACAATGGCAAGGAGCCCGGAGCTTCATTCGGGCCTCCCACGCAGACGCAGGGGTCCAGGGACTTGGCCTATCATCAGACCCTGACTGAGAGACTGCACGGCAGTATCTGGTACAAAACAAATGCTTATTAACTCCACTTGCACTATCATCATTCTCACTTAAAGTTAACATAAAGCTTACATTCTTATTTAATGCCAAGGAAGCAATGAACTTCCACAAGTATACTTATTTTAAAAGTCAAAGTTACAGAGAGAAAGAGAGATGTTTTGTCCACTAGTTCACTCCCAATGGCCACAATGCCCAAGGCTGGGCCAGCTGAAGTCAGGCTTATTTTAAAATGCCTTTGCTTCAACATGCTTAATAAAAACTGTCATCATAATATTTCTGTTCAGGTTAACCTCACTAAAAGTACAATTATTTTGTTTTTTCTTAAAAGGTGCTTTCCAACCTTAAATAGGCAAAGAAAAATTTTTAAGGATTAAGTGCAGCAGTTATAAATAATGAACAAAAAAACAAGCAAAACATTAATGCATTAGTTTCCCTCCTCACCCAGCAAGTCTTGAGAGTACAAAAAGCCACTGTTTGAGTAATGAATTTCTGAAACTTAAATATTCCCTCATTTCTAATGTCCTGGTTTCTGATTAATGCTAACAGTCAAAAGTAGATCTAACCTACCTAAAGATGTATCTTTATCACCTTTAATTTTTAATAATTTGAAAGATATTTTTAGATAAAACTGTAAATAGCAACTTACCATCACGTTGCATCAAAGTTCACTTGTAAATCAGCTGTTTTCCATTAAAAAAATCATAAAATGTCTTATATTCCTATGCTGGCCCATAAAGGTCACTTAACTTAAAAACCACAATTACAGTACTACCCACCTTTTCTAACATTGTGGCTCTGAATAAAACAAGTATCAAAATCGACAAAGTAGAAATACATCTCCCCAATCCTAGGTCACAGTGACAAGCAATCTCGCCCTGGCTCACCGTCAGGAAGGGAACAGGGAGAACAGGAGAGAGTGGGGATGGGGCAGCACAGCTCATAACCTGTTCTGTCACTGACACAGAACAATTGTGATAATTCTATACGATATATGCAAACAATATGAAATGCTCAAGTGAAGGAAGCATTTCCATCTCAAACATGTATCATTGCTTTGCTTGGGAACCTTGAAACTCCTTCCTTCTGGTTCTTTATAAAATATACTATAAGTCGCTGTCAACTCCCCCAGTCACCCCAACTGTCCTGCTGAACACACTCCCCCAAACTAACTGGACATTGGAAATCACTGCCCGACCTCCACCTTCCACCTTCCACCTTACCAGCCTTCAGTTACCACAATTCCACTATCCAACACTACGAAATCAAACTGTGAGTGTTAGAGCCGTATTGATGTTTCCGTGACTGGGAAGCAGAACTTTAGAAGCATCTGAAGCAAGTGAAAAACTACAAACAGCTCCTGCCACCTGTGCTCCTGGGCCGTCACTCCACCAGGCCACTGCTCCACCAGGCCTCCACCATCCTCCAACCAGGCCTCCACCAGCCTTTAACCAGGCCTCCACCAGGCTCCACCAGCCTCCACCAGGCTGCCACCTCCACCAGGCTGCTGCTCCACCAGGCCTCCACAAACCTCCACCAGCCTCCACCAGCTGAGGAGAGAAAGCCCTCCCAAGCCTGCAGCAGCAGGGGCTCTTCCAACCCAAGAGCCTATCTACCTACAAGGCTTTTAGATAAGGAACTTGTTTTTCAAAACTTACTTTAAAAAGAAACAGCGCCCTTTTATGTTTGTTTAACAACTTATTTGAGGCTGTACTTCTATAAGCATGTTTAAAAGCAGAATATGCTGGCCAAAAACACACACATACATACCAACAGCTAGCAATTTCAAATGCTACAGGGGTACATCGACATGACACTATTCCTATGAGTAAGAATAATTACAATTAAGACTGAAAAACCCTCCTCACCTAACCCTTGTAGAGTGGAAATACCCAAATATAGAGTAGTTAATAACAAAAACCTTAGTTAAATTGTGAAACTGTGTCATAATTTCCAAAAGCATATGAAACTTCCCATAGATCATTATCAAGAGCAAAATGATCTTAACCATCAGTTTCGGGTTTTTTCCAGCCTTGAACCTGGCACTCTCTTAAGACTTGAGTCACTGGTCTTTTCATTCTTTGGACAAATGACCTCGTACTGTGGCTCAGCTTCTTCGGCCTCCTGCGCGCCCTCCCAGCAATCTGCGCGTCCAGTCTGTCACTGCTGCTCATCTGCTCTCCTCCCTCAGTGCTCATGTCCAATGCACTGTCCACTCCTTACAGAGTCAACTGGGCTCGGAACTGGCCTACTGGAAGATCTTGGAAAGACGGGAAAACCCTACTGCAAACAAATAATAATGGAGCAGTATACACAGGTAAGTAAATAGCCCAAAGTGTAACTCAGCTGACTCAGAACAGCATCCTATGTTCCTATCTGCTCCTAGAATGTCTTTCATTATCACAGGAAGGCCAACTTGGGCCTGCTGGTGATTTTCCACATAAATGCACACTGGTTCCTTTTCTCCCTTCCCTGAAACACAGCACCTTCTCCAACAGCCTTGACAGGTACACAAGCAGGCCTGCTTCTCCTCTCTCAAGACACAAACACGACGTACATGGAACATGCAATGAAGATCCACACTACACACTTTCACACTGCACCTCCAGATGTGACTCTTGGGGTACTTCCAAACAAGTTCACTTTATGAGTTTCCCTTTGCATCAAATGCAAAGCAATGACACACAGATCAGAATGACAAAGCTCTAAGAAAAAACAAGATAGAACAGACTACAGCTTAGACACCATACAAAACATGGATCTGAAAGTGCACATACGTCTGGTCCAAAAGCAGGCACAGGAGGGTCCCGTCCCCAGGAGTCCCAAGGACACCCGGCACAGGAGGGTCCCATCCCCAGGAGTCCCAAGGACACCCGGCACAGGAGGCAGAGCTGCTCTAACACGTGAGGTAGAGCTCCCCAAGCCTGGACTACCCTGGGAAAACAAGAAAGGCTGGAACTTCAGTAGTATTTTCAGTTTGGCCACTATGTTCCCTCTCCTCAATAGAAAAAAATAAAGAGTTTGTCATCTCCATATAAAGACTAATTTATTTACTCCTAGAAAAACCAATAGACCACCTTTGCCTAGAAAACCAACTTACAAAACTGAAAATTAGTTAAAACATCAAGAACTGTGAATTTGACAAAATGCGTTTCTTAACTAAATTCCAACAAAGGTAATATTTGCTGGAAACCACACTTCCAGCACTACTGAAATTTCATACAATGTGAGCAATTTTAATATATGAACACTGGAAACAATGTAAAATACAACAGCAGAGATCCTCACCTGCGCTTTGACTGTGATCTTTTCCTTCTAGAATGAGATTTTGAGCTAGATCTGGATTGTGAGCGAGTATGGGAACGAGATCGACCGCCTTTTCTTTCATTGTTCTTTCCAGACTCTGGGAGGAAAAAACCACTTTGCAGTGTAAGCTCAGAACAATTAAAGATCCCAGTTAATAATTAGGCACAAGTGGAATGTACCACATATAGTGCAAGGGGCCTACTCTCTGTACATCCTCCTCCTGTGCAATTATCCTTCAGAAACATCCAAGAAAGTCATTGCATAAACTCGTGGAGTGCAGCCACCCTGCAGCAGTACATATAAACCAGATGATTATAAACAGGTGCTCGTAATATTTTGTTGCTGCCATAACGTACGATTACAACATGTCTGTAATTCCTATGACAGATTTTAAGTCTCCATTTATTTTCCTAGAACTGAAGCTTAAATTCTGACGGCTAATTTAGAAAATCTGCTCAAAAGTAATTACCCAAGCATCACTGGATTGGATTTTTAAATTACTTTACCAACACAAAAATTCGAACTAGTGTTCCACTCTGTGCTAAAATAGAAAATCCATATTTTCTCAAAATAATGGGCTCCTTTCTAGTTGTAAAATTAAAATGTTAAGGAAGGCAAACCTCCATAACTGTAACATTTTAAATATATTTACTTCATTTCCAGCTTCACCGTAAGACAATTTGCTTGTAACAAATAAATTTGAATGCAGTTTGCTATTAATTTATAATGAGCTCATTTACTCGAACAGGCTGTTAAAAATCACAGGAAAAGTTAAGATTTGTGCTAGAATGCACTTGGACATGAGTAGGCCACTTACTACTTGAGTGTCAGTCTTTTATGTAAAAGAAAAGGACTGAACAATGCAATTTCTAAATTCCTTCCAGTCCTAAGGCTCTACGACCTGTAAACTGTGGCCTATGTAACAACACCACAGCCTTACCTGGTTCAATAGCTGCTGAGATAAAGGACTGAGCCTCTCGGACCCGCTTCATGACTTCTTCTAACTCCTTAGCTGCAGCCTGAGGTGTCATCTCAGGGGGTTTTACTATTGCATTGTTGGAGTGATTTATTCTAAATTAAAAATATTAGCATATCACAAATGCACACCTTATTTACATACAACACATGAAATCATTAACTGCTTACACAATACTTATCAATCTGAGGGTATCTCAAAAGCACACTGAGAATGATAGAGCAAATTCATGTTCTAAAACAACCCTGAACCATGAATAGTAACCTCATCCCTACCTGCCATCATCTCTTGCTAACAAATTCAAAACCAAACCAAAAGAAAGCTTAACTATAGCTGACTTCTACAACAGCCCAAATGGACTAGAGGAAATATTTTCCTATGTATCATAGAGTTACAACTAAGATGGGCTCTTTTGTAGATTTTATACTTAATACCAATGAATCACTTCTCCTAAGATTTTGTCGATAACGTGGGCAATCTGGGAGGATGAAGGCAGAGCTTGCAGCACGTGTACCATTTCAATTAACCTTGAACTCTGGCCTAGTCAAACACACATTCCAAGCTGACAGCCTTCTGGTAGAATGCCTAGTCTACTACCAGTAGCTTTCTGAATGCACACAATGTTTAATGAGCCTCACACTTCACCCCCACCACAACTGCCAAGATAAGCACCCATTGCAAATGATTATTTCTCCTTTCAAAGCAAATCCTGATCAAATTCTGTAAATCAGGGAATTTATGGAATTCAGACAAAACCAAGTTTCCCTCAATAATCACTTGAAACAGAACTTCTTGAGTATCTAAAAAGTTACACCATTTTTTTCACAACCAAAGATAGGAGCAACCCTAAAAGTCAAAACAATTGGTTTAAAACCATCCTACGTTCTCAATATATTTGGCTGCAAATCTGAGTTCACTCAAGTTTTTTTTTATACTAGAAATACTGTAGTTCAAATCACATAGTAAGTTGTCCATTAGTCTAGGGTCATAACAAAAAACCAACTTGATTTTGTTGAGGCTTAAGGACACACGTGTTAGATAGAGTACATAAACAACATTAACGTTGAACTGGACCTTAGAAATAGAAAAATGAGAAAATAGGATAAACATCCTTAAATAAACAACTTCAGGAATTTAAAGGCTGAAAGCTAATTATCCCATGTATTTCATTTATACTTAACACAAAGTCTTCCTTTACACACATTGCCAATTACTAGCAAAAAAAAAAAAGGCCTCTATTACATCAAGCATACTTTAAATTATTTTCAAAATCATTAAAATGTCTTTGTTTAAGATTCCTTACTTCAGTGGCCTGTCTCCAAACATAACTCCATTAAAAGCAAGGGCCCTTGGCACAGAACTTTGGTCTGCAAATTCCACAAAAGCAAACCGAGTTGGCTGAGTCTCATCACCTGCCATCCGCACAAACTTTACTTCTCCGACTTGTTTAAAAAACTCAAGTAGTTGATCAGCTGTAGTTGTCTGAAGAAACAAAGTGACACTTTAATAAAGTACACACTATTAAAAAATCAGGTACATCTTTATCAAGTGACAATTCATTAGAAGACATACAGAGCAGCATCTACAATCACTCCGTTTCTCTTTAGTTACCTGGGAATTCAGATTGCCAACATACACCGTCCTCCTGATCTCGTCAATCTTAGAAGGGTCCACGTTCCCCATGAGTGGTGGCTGTGGTATCTCCCCAAGAGCTGCAATGTTGGGGTCCAGCGCTGCTGCTGGTATCGCTCCCAAACTGCTAAGCGAGACACCAAGCTAGAAAAGGAACACACACACACATGCTGTTCTCAACAGAAAGACTAGTAAGAATGAGTCCATCCAACAAGAATGGAAGACCACAGACTCCTAACTTACGCCCAGAAGCATTTTTTAATTCTTCAGATTAAGATAGTGAGGTCACATTATTTCCAGTGCATTTAGAAATACATTTTATAACTGAGTACATTTCAAGTCTGTTTAAACTTAATAGTAAATATGGACAAATTCATCCTATTTCTGTTATAAAATGTTGAGTAGTTACATTCTATAATGCATTCATGAACCATGAACTGGTATTACCGACTACTGATAACTATTTCTGAGAAAATACAGGGTTAGGTTCCTGAGATCCTGTAGTCGTATTTTTGTCAACCGACACTCATATAATTTTTATTTTTATGAATTTCCGTTTAAAGACACTTTAAAGTGTGCTGTTATTCATTAATATAAATCTCATCACTGGCATGAATAAATGACTCCGACACTTCTTATCGCACATTTTCTACATGAAGCACATCACAGAATTCCTGAACCCAGGAACACAACACGTTAGCACCACGCTTAGAAGTTGAGCTATGTAACAAGCACAAAAATTCAAAAAACACAGAATGCAAAAAGTATACATGCTTACAATCTGAACATTAAAACCAGACAGAATGCCATCCTGTGTGATTTCTTCATAAAATTGTTTCAAGTATTGACTTTACAGTTAAACCAAAAGTTTCATCTCATAAGTGACTTCACAAACACCGAAGTCACAAATCAATTTGACGGTAATTCAAAATGACTGAATTCCAAACCAAAAAAAAAAAAAAAAAACAACCCAACTATTACAGCAGCATCTAATTTTGCTGACTGATTAACTCAATCCTATTGACCCCTGAGATGACTATTACTGTTACACCAATTTCACAGATGAAGTGGGGCCGGAGGTACCAACACCAGTGTCAGTTCTGATCCAGTTCCCTATTAATGTGCCTAGGAAAACAGCCCAAGTGCTTTAGCCCCTACACCTACATGAGACCTGTAAGAAGGCCCTGGCCCCAGCCCAGCCCAGTCCCAGCATGAGCCCAGCCCCAGCCCCCCGGGCCCCCAGCCCAGCCCCAGCCCCAGCCCCCTGGCCCGGCCCCGGCCCCGGCCCCATCAGCCATCTGGAGAGTAAACCAGCAGATGGAAGATCAGTTTCTCTCCCTCTCTCTAAAATTCTGCCTTTCAAATTAATAAATCTTTTAAATAATTTTGCCTTCCCTTTATATAAAACTTTTTAAAATATTACGAAAGTTTTTTTGACCCACCCGGGTGGCTGTAGCTGGGCCACATGGCTGCCTTGGGGGAGGGTGCTCGCTGCACACCTTCAGAAGCCAACGCCTGGAGGCTTTTCCAACAGGTACTACAGCTGAGTACACTGACTCCCCGGGGGCTAGAGGAGGGACGCTAGGCAGGCTTCTGGGACCACCCTATCCTGGAAGTTATTTACTTTTTTTGACCCACTGGTGCCTGTAGTTGGGTCGTGTGGCTCCCCCCGAAAGGGCCTGGCCAAAGGCACTGGGCAAAGCCTCTGGGGCCGCCTGGCAGTGCACCCTCACAGTTTGAAGGGTCTTGATTTACAGGGAAATGATGGGATCTCACAGGTGACAGTGAGAGATGACCTGTGGTTTTTATGCCCAGGTTAGGAATTACAGCTGAGGGACTTCCATAGACAAGTCCACAACATGTGTATGTAAGTAGGGGACTGACAGCAAATTGGTTTGGAGGGGAGAACAAGAGTGAGAAGTGGGTCTGATAGCAGAATCTGTGGGGGCAATGTGGGCTCACCCCTGTGGAACTGCAATCTCTGCTGGCTCGCCCAAGAACTGTGGATGGGGTCAGGCCTTGCTGGGGAGCCCAGGGGGCGCCCCAGCTGGGTTGGGGTTCCCACTGGTGAGGATGAGAGTAGGATTGGGGGCAGCAGGCTTGGCTGGACATGGCTACAGCCTGCACCAGTGTGGGTGTGCACTGGGACTGTGGAGCAACAGATTGGGCTTGACTCCAGCCCCCACTGGTACTCGTGAGAGCCAGGTTGGGTGTAGAACAGGCCAGGTCAGGTCTTGACTCCCACTGAACTATGTGAAAGCTGTGTCTGGGCACGGACCAGGTAGTGCTGGGCTGCAACAACCAACAAGAACCAGAATGAGTGTGATTGACTGAGCAAAGCCACCACTGATCTTGCCAGGGCAGGAGGTAGACAAAGTCAACCTGGGCCAATGATCCACTGGTGTGCCTGAGAACTGCCACTGGGAGGAGACTCGATAGAGGAGCTTGGGAAACTCATTGGGACGCAGTCCCTGCAGGTGAGCACAAGAAGCAAGGCAAGGAGCAGCCCAGACAACACCAGGTTACAGTACCCACCAGCATACATGTGGGTCAGGTCTGGGGACAGACCAGTCTGGGCCAGTTCATAACACCCACTGGCAGATCTGAGAACCAGGGCAAGGGGCAGGAGGAGCCAGATCAGGCCACAACACTAACCGGTTCACATTAGGACCAGGACAGCAATCAGACTGGGCTGGGATAGGCTGCAGCACCCACCAACAGAAGCTGGAACAGAGGGCAGACTAGACCAGGCCAGGCAGTGCAACAAGACTGCGGGCACTGGGATGGGGGAGTCATGCCAGCCTGGGCCCAGTGTGGGCCAAGTTCATGAGCGTGCCTCTCTATAATACTTTCCCCCACTGTGGAACATCCATCTTAAAAATGGATTTTTAAAAACGGATCTCTAATCCTCATGATCTGGTAAATAACATTATGATCTGGAAATCACCCAGACCTTCCAGTGTCCTATGTAATCTAAAACATTTAGATTTCCATTAACTCTCTGATGAATAATCTATGACTTCTCAAATGTCAATAGTTATGTTAGGAGCATTTCCAAAAGTCAGTTTAAGTCAATGACCACGGAGGGGGGTGGAGGGGGAAAAGAAGTGAAAATCTTCAAGAAGAGGTTAGAAATTCTCTCCAGTTATAAAAAAAAGTCCCCCCCCCCACGCGGTGGCACAGTGGTTAAGGTCCTCGCCTTGCACGCCCAGGATCCCATATGGGCGCCGGTTCTATCCCGGCAGCCCTGCTTCCCATCCAGCTCCCTGCCTGTGGCCCGGGAAAGCAGTCGAGGACGGTCCAAAGCTTTGGGACCCTGCACCCGCATGGGAGACCAGGAAGAGTCTCCTGGCTTCGGTTTGGCATAGTATCGGCCCTTGCGCTCACTTGGGGAGTGAATCATCGGATGGAAGATCTTCCTGTCTGTCTCTCCTCTCTGTATATCCGCCTTTCCAATAAAAAAAATAATAATAAAAATAAAACTTAAAAAAAAAAAAAAGACACAAAACAGCAACAATTTCCTGAGCTCTTCACTCAAATGATCCCTAGCTGAATGTGACCCCGGAGTGGACTCCGAGTACTTACTGTGGTCAAAGGACTGGGGGTGGGGATGGGAAGCAGCCCTGCACCAGGCATCAGGCTGGTCATGGACGGAGCGGGCGCCAGCAAGGAGAGGGCTTTGGCTTCTTCAGGGATCTTACCTGCAGAGGCAAGTTCCAAACATTAAAGAAGGCAGATACACCACACAAACATGACACTATGACTTTACAATTACCCTGGCACTTAAAAAATAATAATAATAAATGAGAATCTATCTATCAGATCCGTATAACGAAATAAATAAGAACTTAAGTCTTTCCTTTTATCCTGCTCTATTAGGAAAAATAAAAGTGAGCAAAACTTCAAAGACTAGAAATCTCATTAATGGAATATTATCTTAAAAATTGAATAATGTACACAATTATGTAACACTTTGAGCTATGGGTCACCTGTACTGGAAACTTAATGTTCATGAACCAAACGATATCAAGCATGGACGCTTTCCCAGGACGGTGTTTTCGCGGTGATCGAAAGTTGTGTTACACATGACAACCGTTCGTGTTGGCTGCATCACTAATAGCACACAGAACATCAGATACAGAAAAGAAGAACATTTTTTAAAGTTTAATCCCCAGAAATGGCAAATAACCAAATCAGTCAAAAAAAAAAAAAAGAAAAAAAAAGAAAAAAAAACCAAATATGTGCGAATTGAAATCTGTTCCTTAATGAGTGCCCCTACCCTGTTACTCAAGCTATCTACTTGTGAAGCAAACAATTTTGATAATCCAACAGATTCCATTCAATTCCAAATAAACAAAAAAAATAAATAAAAATAAAAATCTACTTAACATACTAGCTGTAATTTAAAAGGCAGTCTACATCCATTCACTCAAAGGTCTCACCAATATCTGAGATGTCTAAAAGAATCCATTGCCAAGGAACACACCTCCATAAACTGCTAAAAGTTTTGGAAAATACCTACATCAGATAACTGCATCAAGAAGACTTCCTGCTTTCAGGAAAACTTCTTAAAACATTAACCTTGTAGTCAGCTTTTGCATACTTATCCGAAGAAGGGTGGCTTATGTGTCTTACCTATCAACACTTTAACTGCCATATGTCAAGAGTTAGTCCTAAAATAATTTCACACTAATAAGAAAAAAAATAAAGATGAAAAATTCACTGTGAAATAGGTACACTGACTTGCCACATTTGCTAAATTTTAACCAACTAATTTTGGCAAAAACTTGTTAACTTTCACATTTTTTCTTATCATCTTAGCCAAAACAAAGATTTTTAAAAACAGGTGACTCCATGTACTTAGAAGCACTACTCATGTGGTAGCTTAGCTGGCATGTATCTCCATTACGGATTCTTCAAGACAGTGTACAGAGTCACCCACAGCTGAAGCACAGTTCATGCATCCATGCCTAATTCCAGTGGTAAAAATGCTACTGAAAACAATCAGACGCACAGACACAAATCTCTAAATAAGTTTACACTAAGTAAATTTAATAACATATCTTTAAAAACAGAAACTACTTCAATGTAAATTCTAGAAAACAGATTCAACATGCATAAACAAAAGGTAGATAGCCTTACTGAGACATCAAATAACAATAACCTACTTTAAGTATATTAGTTATTCATATTAACACATGTATTAACATCCACATATATGCTATGCTACTTACACTAATATCACAGATTTTCCTGGTACAAATATATGGCTGTGAAAAACACTTATAAAATCTGAACACACTGACTGCATCAGCTGAGGCTGGGAAGTGCAAACCCTATGGTTCACTAGCCTAACAACTGCACCTAAAAAAAACAACAGTAATTTCTCCAATTTAGTAATGTTTGCCAATTAATAAGCAAAACCATCCATAAAGACAGCATGGAAGACTAACAGGGTGTCTGACACAGGTCAAAAGTTCATTATTTTCTACTATGAAATCTTCCCCATCTGGCCTTCATGATGCACCAGTAGACTGTGCGATCGGCCTAGCCTTCCAGTGACACACTGCCACTCCAGCAGCTGCCACCTTGTCTGACACTGTCACTAAGGATACAATAACCCATCAAGTCTTACATTCTCAATGTCGCAGTATTTATCACAAAGATACCATAAGCAATATATTTCTTGCTCGGTGTTTTTGTATGCACCATATATATGACAATAAGACATAATGGGTTAAGAAAAAGTTGCAACTTTCTGATAAAATAAATCTTTAAAAAAAAAAAAAGTTTCACAGTTTAATTTCTATGATGGATTTCTATCAAATACACTATCCAAACCTGAGGGGGCTTCTAAAAGTTTGTACAAAATCTGTCTTTATCTCGTGGCCAATTTTTCTAATTTCCTGAAGTCCCCAGTTAGTGTACATAAAGTCTAAAACAAATTTCTTCCATCTTTACAAAATCTTAATCAAACATTAATGATCAGACATTAATAATCTTACATAATCAACATTTTTTGCTGCTTAAAATCATTAAGGCTTGAAAATTAAATTTAGTCATTTAATGATAATCTACCAACACAGAAGGCAATATGGGCAGGCCTATAACCCAATTTTTTAAAACCTGAATCTCAATTAGTAAAATATGAAAACGGCTGATGTAAATGCATTTAGCATTTTTCCATGTTATACTCAATGACAACTCAGAAGAAAAATCTCTCATGGGATTAAAGTCTAAATCTTAATCTTAAGAATCCAACTAAAATTGTAATCTCAGAAGAATTTTTTTAACAAATCAATCAAACAAAAAGACACACGAAAATAAGCAACCAATAGCTTCTCAAATGCCCATTCCCCACTTAGGCAAAAAAAAAAAAAGTAAAGGTTTTTTTCACCCTATTCAGACCACCATAAAATATTCACTTACTTTGCTTGATAAATTTTGTATGACTAGAATTCTAAGGGGAAGGATGAAAATTAGAAGCAGTGGTTTTTATGTGAAATTTGGACTTGAAAAAAAACTACAAATACGTTACATTGAGAACACGCTATACTCAGTGTCCCTAAAATTCTTACCAGAGTTTAATACTTTAAGAACAAACTGTACCCGATCAGCTACAAACACCAATTAGACTGATACTGCGATTCACAATACTATATCCTAATTTACTACATGAGCAATTATCTTAAAGCTGAGTGCTTCTAACCAACTCCCAATATAATTTGCATCACATTATGACCTTTAATGGAATACCATTTACAAAGAACTGGAGAACCAGCTCACAGTTAAAGTGAAAGAGATTTAACAAAACAAAAACAAAACAAAACAAAAGGGGGACAAAATAAAGAAAAAGAAATGAAATTAAAGCAAAAACAATAAAAAAACAGAGACAGGGCGTCCATCTTCTGCGGCTGAGACTCCGATCTCACTCCCCAGGGAAGGTGTCACTTGTCGGCAGGTTTAGTGGCAGGGCAAACAATGCCTAACTCAGGCAAGTGTAACAGGTCTGCCTCGGCCAGTCTAGTCATCTAATAGTGCACAAATATCACATAGAGAAAACATACAAAACCAAATTAATAGTCAAAATCCATCTACCAGAAAATGTGGACATAAACTTATGACTGCTGATTAAGCTGACACCCTTGTCATGTCTGAATTTAGCCCGCTCTATCTGCTAATTCACATTTATTTCTAAAAGAAGCCTGGAATGCACACAACAACAAAAACGAGTCCTATCTGGATGAGCATGATCCAAGCACACTTTATTTGAAAACGGCATGTTTTACTAACAATAGTTAATGCTCCCAATGTATGAAACTTCCACAGCCTAAAATCTTCACACTGCTGTCCACTCTAACACAGCAAATCAAAGACCTAAAAACAGTTTTTGCGAATATTTTTCCTTTTGTTTTTCTCATTATGTCATGATGCCATTTCAATAAGGTCAAGGCAATGACGCAATCAGGGAAGTGGACAAGAGCCTGCGCATGGCATCTGGACGCAGGCTCTGGGTGGGAGCCCCTCTCCTGCGGCTGGCTTCAACTCACCACTGCCTTACTACACTAGCACATTACTGCTCTGCTTGCGGCGCATAATGTACTGCATGTCACCAAAAAAAATCTTAATAGTAACTTCCATATTTAATAACTAATAAAAAATGTATCTGAATGCTTTTCTAATGCCAGCCATTTTATAGCTTAATGCTCTAAAATGCTCTCTTCTACCCAAACTTCAAAATTATGCTTGAGGTCTCATATTCAAAAATAGTAAATTTTTGTCTCAAAACAGTAGCAATATATTAAAAAGTTGTAACTGAGTTTACATTTACTCTACATTTATCTCTCTATCAAGTAAAATAGACAACAGGAGGAACCCTGAACATTCATGACAAACCAATCAGGGCCTGTGTAACCTCAACAATTCTATGGGAATGTAACAAGGTCCTAATAAAACAAGCATAGAATTCTTTCTTCCAATTAGTAAGGACCTAATTCAATCAAAGATCCTGACATGTTGCTGCGATAGTTTTCAGTTATATTTCAGTTTATTAAACCCCTCTACCTAATTCAATCAAAGACCCTGTCATGTTGCTGCAATAACTTGCAGTTATATTTCAGTTTATTAAGCCCCTCTACCTACTCTTTTTCCTATGCAGTTTCTTGGGATGGAACTTCCAGGTGAAGAACCAACCATTAACCAGCCCCTCTCCCCACTCTCCAGCTTTGGGCTCCGTTATCCTTACATCAGCAGGTAAGGGTGTGCTTAACAAATAACTAATTGCAAAACATTTTTTATTTTCCTGACCCACCCTAACCCCCAAACAGGATAACACACTCCCAATTTATCTGAAAAAAATCAGAACATTCTATTCTGGGATTTCAATAGTATCAGCCCAGATACTCACTGTATTTGACTGTTAGATTTCTGACAACCAAAATAGGCATGCTGAAATAATGCATAAAATCTGAAAGTACAGCTGATTATATATGTTACATTAATCTGGGCCAATAAAAGAGCTGTTAAGAGGCTTCTAGTAAACTTTTATGTTGTAAAACAGTTACCAGAGAAAATCTGATTTAAGGATATACAATAACCCAATACTACAATTCATGTACACGTGCCATGGTCAGTTTTTTGAATAGTTCATTACACACAAGAACTGTCAAAATTCAGCACACTTTACTGTATGTGAGTGGCTCTGTAAAAAGAAGTTACTAAAAATTATTAGTAACAATTAGCTCTTAAAGCAGTAGGCCATAAAATTTAATCATTAAGGCTTTTAGCCTTGTTTCAATCATTAACAGCTAGTTCTTTAGTTCTTTTAAAAGAAGCTTTGGAAAAAATGTTTTGGGAGGGAGGAAGCATGACAATTTTTCAATTCCCCCACCCAAAAGTCACAAAAAGAAAAAAGTAAATTCCAGTTGCAAACAATTATTCTGAATATAAAACAATGATCTCATGGTAAGCACGTCAATCACCTAAGAGGCTATCTGAAAGCACAAACCATGACTGTTTATCATTACCACTTCTATAGGTAAAATGTGTACATTGCGTCTGTTGGTAACACTATCAGTACACACAGGATAAACACTTATTTACACATGAAAGTTCTCATATCGATGTTTTTTTAATTTCAGAAAACTTTCTTTACAACCTGAGAATTGACTATTTTAGTATATGTGCTGTTGAAGCAAGCAGAGAATTGACTATTTAAAAAGCCAAAGCAAAACCAAAAAAGCCAAATAATTTATCATTTTTAAAGTGAGAAATTATAAACCCTCAACAAACAAAATCAATTAAACATTTTACAGCATTTACTCTTGAGTAAAAATTCCTTCCTTCTCTAAACTTCATCCCTGCTTTTACATACATTCTTTCTCTTCCACACATACAACACACACACACACACACACACACACACACACCCTGAGCTGTCTACCGGCCATCTTTCGGACACTCAAAGGCAGTAACAGACAAGACAAGAATCAAAACGGGAGAACAGGTGCAATACTAACCTTCTGCACAAGGAACAACTATGAGAGCTCTGTCAATAAAAACCGTGTTAGTTAGATGCTGGGCCACACCAACACTCGCAGGGTCACGAAACTTAACATAACATACTTTGGATGAAAACGCAAGGGGTGTATTGCTGAAAGATAAAAAAGAAGAAAACACAATTGGACTAACAAACATTTGTCTGGCTTCGTCGTTTCATTTACAATTTCTTTCATCTTTACAAAATCTTACATAACCAAACTAATATTTGATTTTTTTGTTGCTTAAAATCATTAAGGCTTGAAAATTAAATTTAGTCATTTAATGGCAATCTACCAAGACAGAGGGCAATATGGGCAGACTTATAACCCGATTTCTAAAACTTGAAACTCAATCAGTAAAATATGAAAACGGCTGATGTAACTCACAGGTGTTCATTCATCATATCAAAAATGGACAAGTCCCATGATAAAAGTTCCAACTCTTAGAGCTTCAAACAAACTTCTGACAGTAACATTTTATTACATCCAGGGCCCGGCGTGGTGGCGCAAGTGGTTAAGGTCCTCGCCTTGCACGCCCAGGATCCCATATAGGCGCCGGTTCTAATGCCGGCAGCTCCACTTCCCTTCCAGCTCCCTGCCTGTGGCCCAGGAAAGTAGTCGAGGACGGCCCAAAGCTTTGGGACCCTGCACCCGTGTGGGAGACCCGGAAGAGTCTCCTGGCTTCAGATCGGCATAGCATCGGCATCGGCCATTGCGCTCACTTGGGGAGTGAATCATCGGATGGAAGATCTTCCTGTCTGTCTCTCCTCTCTGTATATCTGCCTTTCCAATGAAAAAATAATAAAAATAAATCTTATATAAAAAAACATTTTATTACATCCAGCTAATGACATAATGACATAAATACAAAACACTTCTTCATTTAAGGAAATATCGAGTACAACTACAAGTACAGCTTTGACCTGCAACAATAACACAGCCATCCCCTCGCTCTGGTCATTATCCCAAGCCCACGCCCATCCTGTGATTCTTCAGTATTTAAAATCACTAAAAATATCATCAGTCTTACAAACAAATACAGAACTAAAATTTGTCTTAATGCACTTAGCAGACTGTTTTAAGCTAGACAGCAATGTGATTCTATAAATGAAAATTTTTGAAACAAATTTTATCTTTTATATGCAAAATAACATAGACACTAGCCCTTATTAAATGTAAACACTTGAACCATTACAATTTTTCACACTAAAAAAAGTACATATTGAAAACTAAGACTTGTGCAATAAGTAGAATTTACTTTGTTTTACAAAACAAATGAAGGAAACTGATCACAATTCCTGAACAGGAGCACGGCAGTTGCGAGTGCAGGGCTAACTAGCTGCAGACTCCTACAACCTTAACTAGTCAACTCCTCAAGAATTTTCAAGCTATCCTGACATACTACAGAATCAGTAGTTGCACAAATACTCATTTTTAAAATTCAAAAATTTTTCTTTGCAATCACTCACAGAAACAAACCTTGAAACAACGTAGTAGCCAAATACCAGGATAACAAACTGTAGCTGTAAAAACTTGGTACTATTCGACTAACACGCTGGTACTGCTGAGGAAAGCACCAGAACACTGCTACCCCCTTCACCGGACAGCTCACCACCCTAAGCAATTCGAATTTCAGATTCATGCCAGGATTACCAAAACCCCCTACTTATCCAACACAACAATCCAAACACTTTATATATAGTCACAGAGTTAAACACTCGAACAACCCAACTTCCCAGCTTCCCAGGATCGAATCTCCCATGGAGCTCTCTAACTCTAGCACCTATGCAAGATCACACCTTGGTGCTCCCTGGGACCCAACCCTTCTCTTCCATTCCCTAGCCCCCTTCCTTCCCAGTTCAGCCCTCTGCTATCCACCACACTGCTGTTCATGATTCCACCACTCTACCCCAGGTTACAAAAAAAAAAAAGCTAGGAGTCTCGCGTGACAGTCACCAGCGTTGCTCACCTATTTCCAGGGCTTCTGGGTTCACGGTAAATTTCCATTTTGCTGCTTGCATTTTAATGTCTCTGCCACAGTG